ACTTAATGCAGGTTCTGTGCAAGAGGTGTCCACCCTGTGGGAAGCACACAAAGCTTTTTTCCGAGGGCATTGCTTCTGTGAGGAATCTGGTTTGAAGAAAGAAAATAGCCTAAGGCCGGCCATACATGGGTCAATTGCCGAACGATTTTTCGTTCGAAAATCGGACCTAAGAATAATCGACAGATTTTTGCTCTGTCAGTGGGGCAATGGCACCGGCCGATTTTCATGGTTCCTCCCCATTTCGTTTATCGGGTATGTTGGAAAATTTGTGAAAAATTAGCGATTTTTCAAAATCATTGGTGGCACCAATGGATTACAGAACGAATTACATTTTTGATTTTTGATCAAAAAAAGTTCAGAATTCAATCCATGTATGGCCTGCTTTAGAGTCTCTCAACGTAGTGTTGCGTGTTTGTGAGAAATTGCTTTTGTGCTCACCCTGTGGCTCGCCTATGTAAAGTCCCATCGTAACCAACTTAAATGACCATGACTAACATTGTGAAATCTAGGTTATGGGCTAAACAAAAATTTTATGAATTTTCTAGCAAACCCCAAAGAATGCTTGTCAAAAAATTTAGAACCCGACCTTTCCATTCCTTCCCGGATTTACTTATGCAGCCGAAATGGCACCCTGACATACTGCCCCCACACTATGGATAGAGTTTTGGCGAATTTTTACCGTTAGTTGTACACTTGTCTGACCTGTGAAAACAATTTTCATTTTCAGCTGGAAAATTTTTAAAAAAAATTTTTAGGAACCTTAACTTACCTAAATTGTAGTCCTCTAATTTGGCTCTGCTCAATGCAGGTATTTCCCCTTAAGAACTTGCAGAGCTGGTCAAGGATCTCCCACTTCATAAATCCCCAGGTCCTGATGGCCTCCCATATTCTTATTATAAGACCTTCCTCCCCCTTTTAGCTTCCCACATGTCAAATCTCTGACTCTCTGCTTCAGGGAGTGAACCTGCATGACCAATTTATGCATTCTTATACAGTGCCTTGAAAAAGTATTCATACCCCTTGAAATTTTCCACATTTTGTCATGTTACAACAAAAAAACGTACATTTATTTTATTGGGATTTTATGTGATAGAAGAAAAGCATTCCCACAACATGATGCTGCCACCACCATGTTTCACGGTGGTGTGTTCAGGGTGATGTGCAGTGTTGGTTTTTCACCACACATAGAGATTTACTTTTATGCCAAAAAGTTCAATTTTGGTCTCATCTGACCATTGCAACTTCTTCCACATGTTTGCAGTTTGTGAGAAGCCATGTGGGGGACACAGCAAACAGGACTTCTTAACGCTTTCATTCAACAATGGCTTTCTTCTTGCCACTCTTCCATAAAGGCCAGATTTGTGGAGTGCATGACTAATAGTTGTCCTGTGGATAGATTCTCCCACCTGAGTCATGCATCTCTGCAGCTCCCCCAGAGTTACCATGGGCCTCTTTGTTGCTTCTCTGATTAATGCTCTCCTTGCCCGGCCTGTCAGTTTAGGTGGACGGCCATGTTTTAGTAGATTTGCAGTTTGTGCCATACCCTTTCCATTTTCGGATGATGGATTGAACAGTGCTCTGGGAGATGTTCAAAGCTTGGGATATTTGTTTTTATAACCTAACCCTGCTTTAAACTTCTCCACAACTTTATTCCTGAGCTGTCTGGTGTGTTCCTTGGCCTTCATGATGCTATTTGTTCACTAATGTTCTCTAACAAACCTCTGAGGGCTTCACAGAACAGCTGTAGTCATACGGAGATTTAATCTCACACAGGTGGACTTCTAAAGGTAATTGGTTCCACTAGATTTTAGTTAAGGGTATCAGGGTAAGGGAGGCTGAATACAAAATGTATGCCACACTTTTCAGATATTTGTAAAAAATTTTGAAAACCATTTATCATTTTCTTCCCACTTCAGAATTATGTGCCACTTTGTGTGTTGGTCTATCACATAAAATCCCAATAAAATAAATTTGTTTACATGACAAAATGCGGAAAATTTCAAGGGGTATGAATTCTTTTTCAAGGCACTGTATATCTGTTATTACAAAACCCAGTAATGATCCCTCTGTACCAGATAACTATAGATCTATTGCCCTTCTTAACTAAGATTATAAGATTTTCATGAAAATTCTGGCCAGCAGATTGACCAAATTGCTCCCTAAGTTAATTAATAAGGATCAGGTTGGCTTTGTACATGCTAGACATGCCGAGGACAACACCAGACGTACAATAGATCTTATAGATTTTCCTAAGTAAATTTACTCGCCCTGCCTTGGAGCTGAGCCTTGACGCCCAAAAAGCTTTTGACTGCCTAATTTGGCTTTACATTTGCTACTCTGTCCCATTATGGGTTTTCGAGGCACTTTGTTAATGCATTAGCTGCTTTGTATTCCAAACCCACAGCTCATTGTCTTCCTTTTTGTTGCCCAGGTTCCCCATGGCCAATGGTACCAGGCAGGGATGTCCACTATCTCCTGTTTTTTATTCTCTGCCTGGAGCCATTGGCTGAGGCAATTCGGTTACATGTGGATATACAAGGGGTCCTGATACCCGTCATCGAGAAAATAAATGGTCTCTTTTTGCAGATGACATTTTGCTTATGTTAACTAACCCTCTAGTTTCCCTCCCATCGTTACATGCGGACATCATTTGGAGCTTTATCTGGATACAAAGTCAGCACCACTAAAACAGAAGTTCTACCCATCCATATCCCACCGGAGCTATTACTTGCCTTAAGCAACTGTACCCTTAGCACTAGTGTGCCCACTCCCTCAAATACCTTGGTGTTCAGTTAACTCCCTCATACCTCACTCTGTATTCAGGTAACTATCTCCCTTTATTCCAGGACATCACTCACTCCCTACATCAATGGACTATCTATCCTATCTCTTTACTTGGTAGGGTAAGCATACTTAAAATGTCCATTCTCCCTAGATTACTATATTTTCTTGAAACCCACCCTGTTGCTATACCTATGTCTCAGCTCTAATCTCTCCAACAAAGGTTTCTCAAATTTATTTAAGTCTCAACGTATAGCTAACTCTGTGCTGTTTTCTCCGAGGACACGTGGGGGGTTGGGAGCCTCTGACCTTATTAAATATTATTATGCCATTCTTCTATGTGCTATAGTCCCTAGGTCTAGGAAATTGAAAAGGGTTCTCTGTATCCTGTACACCCCTGTTCTTTGGTGTGATCAGCTTCCCTCCACAACGATACCATTCTGAAATGCTTGTGTATTGCTCCTATGTTGTTTAATTTAGATCTATGGTGGAAATGTTGTCAAAAGGTACTCTCAATTCAAATATATATGTGCCCAAGACCCTTACCAGCTTCACCTGATTTCTTCAATTTACAAAATTTTGCATGAAGCAACCCCTCTTACAGAAGATACTAATTCCTATAATTGAAAATGGACACGTACTCCTGCGGCCAATGCCTTGTCCCTTTGGAATAAGATATTGACTTCTGCATTTAAAAACATCCAGATGTGTGGTGCAGAGAGAGACTGCTTTAAAAAAAAACTGATGTTCTGGTTTAGAACCACAGAAGTTGTGCATCGCCATGACCCTTCACTTTCTGCACTATGCTGGCGTTGCAGTCTTCAGTTAGGCTCTCACTGTCATTTTCTGGCAATGTACGCAGCTAAGACCTTTTAGGAATGATGTAATGGTATTACATCAACAATTGTTTAATATGTCCTTTCCATTGTATCCCGTCCATTACATATTGGGTCTTCAATTCCACTAAATCTACCAAGTGTCTGATTTCTCATATAATCCTGGCAGCCCATTCCTCTACGTTGGTTATCCACTGACCTGCCTTCTAAACCTCAAACCTACATATCATAGCTGACATTCGGAGAATGGAGTTCCTAACTGCTACTGCATCTGATACTCTGATACATCTATTTCAATAGATGTTGAGAGATCTGGGACCAATCTCAATATTGTGAATTATCCCATTCCAATGATATTAGTTGCAGCCATCTTACTCTTGGTTGACTGATATCGTTCCTCATTTGATGTGTGTGATTTTAGGCATCCCAGCATTTGCTTTTGTGCCTACTGCTGAGACTTAATTACCCTTTTTATGTTACGATCACCCATTTTCTGGGTTTTCCTTTTTATTTGCTATGTATTGTATACCTTTCGGTTTCTCCCTCTGGCAACCTTTTTTTGATACTAAAATGTCATATGTTTTCCTGTTATTTCATTGTGACAAAAAAAAAAAAAAAAACAATACAAATCATAATTCTAAAAAAAATGCTGTTTGAGCTGGTCTAAGCACAGCAGCTGTCTGCATCCTCAGCAACAACCCCACTGGACCAAAGTTTTTGGGCTAGCCTGAAATGTGCCCTTTGAGCAGTGGGCTCTGCATTTTGGCACTTTCCAGATCTCTGTACTGTATTAGTTAGCTACAGACCTTTCTCCAGGTCAAGAACTGTGACAACTTCTTAAATGAGTAAGGCCACCCAGCCTAAAGTAAATCTTTTAAAGTCATATCCTGATCCTGCTCGATTTTGGGGCTTGCTTGGAATGTGGATTTCAGTCACTGGGCTCTGCATTGTGATGCTTTCAAACCTCTGCGTACGGTCTCATAACTCATAGTTTTAGCACAGCCTCTGGTGTAACCCAGTTTAAATGGAGTGCTATGCATGCATGCTCCAAGTACTTTCACGTGCTATTCAGCCTTGAGGAAGGCTTGAGGAATCTAGTTTAGCAGAGGCCAGCGAATATACCAATATATTTTGGGTTTTGGTAGGTAACCAAGGAAACCCATACATACTCCAGGAAAGCTTTGTGGAATGCACCAGCAATACACGACTATCAAGGGACTAATTACTGATTAAACAGTGTAGTTTGGAAAGCTGTGGGGGACAGAGAGTTCTTCAGATAACAGATACAACATCTGTAGGAGGATTTCAGTGGGCTTATGAGAGGTTTTATTATCACTTTTAAGCTTCCCCAAAACGTCCTGTTGAAAATTTCTATTTATTAGACTACTTACCAATGGCTTTAAGAAGTTTTTCAATATCTCCTTTAAGCTCTAGATCCAGTGTTTTGCTGACATCATGTTTACTGTATTTTGGGTACTTCAGGAAAACTGCAGGGATAATATTTAAAACATTTACTAAGAGTGTTGCTGATGTCCGTTTTACGTATTGCAGTACATAGTTATTTAACAGCACAGCCAATTCAAAGAAGAAAAAAAAGCAGTTATTTAAGGAAACTTTATCAGACTTCATTCAATGAGTTTTTTTTTTTTAAACATTCATTGGACGAATGTCACACACATTCAAGCATGTTGCATGAATTTTGTCCATACTTTGGCTCTAGATGGTACTGATAATTACAGCAATGAATATGACAGACTGAGGTATACGTTTCATAAATGCCTCAATAAGAAAATTGATCGCATTTTTGTCACTAGATGGAGTCAGTCAAAGATGCTCTATTAAAAAAATTACTGTAAAAATTTCTCAAACAAATGTTTTATGAAAAGACTCATTTGTGGAGTTACACAAACCATTTTGATGCACAAATGAAGAGAGAAGTCTATATATATATATATATATATATATATATATATATATATATATATATAATAAACTGTACAACTGCATCATTACAAAACAAAAAATAAACAGCAGTGCCCTTAAAATTTATCAACTTTTAGTGTGTGTTTAATAACAAAACACTGAAGAGATAAGACTGAAAACTGAAGTTTATTGTGCTTATATGTTGCCTTCCCTGGTTTCATCCCTGATCAACATGCCAATAACATTTGAAATAAAACCCGTTTTCTGTTTTTCTCTATGCAATGCATGCAGATCATGGTGGTGGGAGGGGCTGGAAGGGTGCTGCATATAGCTTATTGAAAACATACCAGCACCCTGCCCCAGTACTCCTTTCAAGAGTGCTCAGCCCTAGTGCAAGCATGGCCTCGCGTTTGAGAGGAGTTATGCAAACGTCAAATGCCTTGATGGGTGGGTGTCAGTCTGGAGGAGTGGTAGTTCCTAGGCAGAATGGATCTATATGCAGACTATCCTAGATAACACCTACAAGTGATGCTGAGCCTCCATAATTAGGAGGACAAGGACAGTCAGGCTGATAACGGAAAGGGCAATATGAAAAAGGGTTGAAGTTAGTGCTAGGTTTAAGATATAGTTACAATACTCAACAGATATGGCACAGATCAAAGCCTCCTGTATACCATCATACCAGCTCCAGGAACACATGCTGCTCCATCCATCCATGGTAATACAAAGCCTGGACTGGACTCTGTGTGTATTACCTACATCTCAAAGTGAAAATAAAAGCGTCAGCTACAGTCCCCACCCATTGGCCATGCCCCTCTGATGTGTTTTGCCTCAATTGGAATTGTAGCACTTCTATGATTAACCTCAATTATGGTGAAATGCATGGGAGGACCATGGCCAATGGGCGGGGACTGTAGCAGAGGCTTTTATTTTCATTTTGAGATGTGGTTGATACAGAGTGCAGTCCAGGGCTTTGTATTTCTGAGGCTTACTTCAAGGGTTAGATTTAGTGTTAAGGTTGGAAAATTAGGCATTGGGTCCCCTTCGGATTTCTGCCATACACTGTGGTATAATAGCACATGTCATACATTAACTTGCATTGTGTTTACACAGCCCATTCGAATGGGTTTCCAATGCACCTCAGCAAACCTCAAACTGGACCTGACCATTTTTTTGTCAGTACAGCAAACCACAGCACAAAGTAATGTGTTGCCATGGGTTGTAATGAGCAGCAAGGCAGGTCTGTTGCTTTGGTGTGTTGGGGTGCCATTCGTAATGAGTAGAACCACAATACACTAATGCATGCATGATATAATAGTGTCCATTGCGATAAGAGTGTTCCTGCAGCACAAAGGTATGAAGCTGACTTTAAGGTCTCAGTGTTTAATATCCTTCGCTTTGCCAAAATGCCAGGCCATTTCTGACAGACAAAGCTTCGTGCTAGGCAACCTTTTCCCAGTAGCACATCAACATATATACACAAAGGTTGTACAAAATGCTCATCTGCTGTCCTTTTCATCTCCAAATACCTTCTGTCCTGACATACCTCTCTGGAGATGGGAATAGCTGCGAGCAGTCATTATGCTGATGAAAACATCCGCATCTGCCTTTTTTTTCTGTTCACCAGCTTCAAAAAGAGCCTATAAAAAAAATAATAAGGGGCATATTTTTAAAACTGTGAATCTAACATTCAGAAAACACTCTCCAGGAGGATCTTTCAGGTCCAGGTGCTTTAAATGACAGTGGTTGATTTTCTACACCGCTTTAGCTATAGACCTCTACATTCTCTATGTGTGATACCCCAAATTTTTATATTTCAATATTTTTATTGAAAATCTTTAAAAAGTAGTATACAGAAAAATAGAAACCATAGCCCACCTACATAGTGAGTTGTGGCAAACAATCAGATTCATGGAATATATAGGCACATAAGAATACATCAACCGATGATGTTGTAAGCAATAAAACACAACCCCAATAGGGTAGCAAATATTCCACCGGTCAGTAGGCATGGGCAGTATCATATAACCAACTAACAAAAATAAGAAGACCGAAAAAAAATAAACAAAAAGTCAAAGAAGGAGGATAAAGAATAGATCAGAAAAAAAAGGAGAGAAGAAAGAAGGAAAGAGGAAAGAAAGAAAAGAGGGCCAGCCATAGGTCCATTAAATAATAGAGATATACCTAATCCATGGTTCCCATGTATACTCAAATTTAGAAGTATCATTGTTAACGATACTAGTAAGTTTATCATTAATCATAATCCAATTAAGTTTCTGTTTGACCAAGTCTAGCGGAATTGTTGACTGTCTCCAACATCTAGCTATAATAATAGTAAAGAAAGAATTAATATAACTAATTTCTTGGGAATATCAGTGGGCAACAGATGAAATAAGGCTACTTCTGGAGATCTATGAATATTAATTCCCGTTACTGAATAAATTAAGTTAAATATTCAGATCCAAAATCTATTAACCACAGGACATTTCCACCATATGTGGAGCATAGTGCCCTCTTGTCCGCAGTGTCGAAAACAACTGGGTGATGCAGATGGGTACATTTTAGCAACACTTATAGGAACTAAGTACCAGCAAAGAAGTGTTTTATAATTAGATTCAATAAGAGTAGTATTAATTGTAATTTTAGATAGAGCATTGGCTGTAGTCCACCAAGTGTCCAGATCTAGAGAGCTGTTCAAATCCCTTTCCCACTGAATCATATAGGAAAGCTTAATAAGTGGATCAACAAGGGAAGCATAAATATTGGATAATCGACCTTTCACCATCCCAGTAGCCCCACAGGAGATCTCTAGAAGGGTGAGTATGCAAGGTTCTACAAGTTATTTGAGTTTACTGGTGATAAAAGATATAATTTGATCGTATCGAAACAATTCACTGGAGGGCATCTGGCATTTTGTCCGAAAATATTGGAGAGAACGAGGACGAAGTTCTCTTTTGAACAGGGTGCAATACCCTGTTCAAAAATGTGCCAAAGTCAGCTCCAAAAATAAGGTACGGGAGCCAACTTTGGCACATTTTTCACACGTAGGGCAGCTCAAGTGCATGGCTTGAAAAGGCACAAAAAATTATCTTAATTATGTGTTTAATGATGGCAGCAAAAACGTATATAAAGCATGTTCCACATTCAACAATTCTTGTGCAGCATTAGTAGCGACTGCTCCATTAGGTGGCTGTGTTGTAGAAAACAAATGGTTTTGTTGAATTACTGATACATCCTACATCTATCTTGATCTAGATTGTAAATTTGCATATCTTTTAAATATTGTATCCATTTCTGATATAGAGACAATTATTTAAAGCAAATTGTACTTTAAGCGCAATTATTCTTTAGATTCAGGGCCTTCCTCCACTAGTATGTCATCTGAGTTGCTCACTTACCTGTCCACAATCAATGGATATACACTCACTGAGGGGCTACTGGATGCCACACAGCCTGCTCTCTGAAAGCCACCTGGACAGGCCACACATGCACAGATTTCCCATTTATTCCTATAGAAAGTGGCCCCACAGGTAGCATCTCTATCGTGGACATGTAAGTGGGCGACTACTTGCCAGTGAAGAGGCACTCTGCATTTTCTTTATCCTTTTTTCCCCAAGGAACATTTGGTATTTTAGGACACTTAGGTTAGTCCAACTAAATGGAATATAGCAGTGGTGTAGGTTCCCTGTTGGCTACCTATATCTCATGAGAACTCCAGCAGTGAGATTTTCATACCTTTGTTCTCACCTCACAATCCTTTTGGATGTTCCTGCACACCTTGGGGTGTTCTCACTTCATGCTATATTTTCCATGATAAAAAAAAAAAAACTATAATAAAGCTGGGATAATAGGACTTCCTTGTATAACTACCACAGTTGTTGAAACATTTGAACAATCCCAGAAATTACGTTACTGCATTATTTAAAACATTTATAAAACTATATTTGTTTTAACTCAACAGTAACTACCCAAAACAGAACCATTAAGGCTCAGTTCACACTGCCACTACTTGGGATCCAACTTGTGATACCCCAAGTCACATGATCCAATATTAGTCAATAAGAGTGGTCTTAATCAGCACTACTGAAGTTGCTTTGACTTTAGAAAAGGTTCCTGTACTACTTCAAGGTGACTTCTATCTGACTTGTGCTCAAAGATTTTAATCAAAGTTGCCTCCAAGTCAGACCCTCATCTATATTGATGTGATTTGGATCCAACATTACAGAAGATTACCCAGGAAAAGTAGCATGGCATGAAAGTCACCTATCAAGTTGCATCAAAGTCATACTCAAGTGGCATCAAGCCGCCAGGAAGTCGCTTGGCAAAGTTGCACCATATGTTGCATGACTTTCAGGTCACAGTAGTGTGAACCGAGCCTAAAATGCATTACTAAATTTATGGATTCACATTTTCAGAGGTTAATAGCTAAAAAGCACACAATATAAGACAGTTCTGTCCAGTAATAAAAGATTATTAATTGCTAAAGATATAATTTTTAATATTTTCTTTTCAACAAGACAAAATTATCCCACATACTATTTAGTATGTTAGTTACTACAGCTTTCTGTAATAATCTATATCAGGGATGCACCGATACTGATACTGAGTATTTTCATGAGTATTCGTACTTGTAAAAATACTCCCGATACCTTAACCAATACTTTGCAGTGCAATTGCGTTAAATGGACACAAATAGCACCAAAAAGATTAGCAAGCGATTTGAACAGGAATGAGATTCCTGTCCAAATCGCATGCGGTTTCCCCACTGCTCCTGTGTGAACTCGGACTATGACAAGCCTGGGTTCACACAGGAGCAGTGGGGAGACTGCATTTGATTTGGACAGGAATCCTGTTCAAATCACATGCTATTCTATGTGGCGCAATTTGCATCCATTAATGCAAATCACACCACAAAGTATCGGTACTCGGTATCGGAGAGTACTTGACCAAGAGTCACAGGACTTGTACACGCCAATAAAAAAATGGCATTGGTGCATCCCTAGTCTATGTTTCAGGCCTTCCCGTAGAGGAATACACATTCTCCCAAACTATTATAGTTGGTACAGATGGCCAATTATAATATTCTGAGGTTAGGAAATTGCAAGTCCACCAACACACAAGATGGGTGCTATTGCTCATACATATGCCCTAAATTAATAAAGGCAGCTTAGAAGCAGACAGACCTCTCAGTAAGGGAAGCTAGTAATGACAGATCTGTGAAGTTTCACACAAGAATACTGGCTGGTTCAATAACTCACTGGATAAGAATTTTTCTGGGATTCCAAAAGGTGATACATCTGCACTAGAATTCTTGGCTCCAATTTCTAAATATAAGACCTCCTAGTAGTCATCAAGGGTGGCTTATTGTAAACTATAGTGTAAGATTTGAAGCAATCTTCTGCACATCCTGTTGCTGGCTATCAGTAGTACATTCCCATATATAAAATTGAAGGCCCCCCCTCTGATAACCTTTCTCCCAGTGAAATCCAACTGGATCATTGTTACTGTAGCAGGCAAACTCCCACTTTCAGCTTCTTCATCCACCTTGTCATGCCTTGTGTAGCTATGTCATCTGATCTTGTTAATGTCATGCAAAGGCTAACCTGCCTACTGGTGGGCTGCACAAGACAGCAAAAAGTATAAATCCTACTCTGGTCACGGTGCAGGAGCAGAGAACTTGTGTAGTGAATCCTTAAGAGAATGTAAGAAACTTTTGGGGTGGATCAAATTGTTTATTTCCTTTAGAAGTAGTTATGTTCATTAACCAAAATGCTAACATTGTTCTTGTCTAGGTAGCTCCCCAATGGGTGACCACTGAGGAGCTTCAGCCTACAACCAAAACTTGAATTGACGGACATAATAATTGGGTCACAATGGTTTCTAACCACTAACAAGCTGACAGCAGCCTTGGAGCCTTATTCCTACAACCACCTACAGAGTGATATGCCCCAAAAGGCAATTATTTGGTTTTTGAATCAAATTTTAATGCAAGGTAGTAGTTTTTGTAATGCAGTCAGGCTGAATATATAATGAAATATGCTCCTCTTTCTGTGTTTTTTCTTAAGATAACAAGGGGTCTATTTATAAAAAAAAAAAAAAGTTCACCGGATAAATGAAAGATGTATTTGCCCAGCCATAACACATTTTCCTTGTATTTTGTCTAATAGGTTTATTTCCTTTGATTGTCAGTTGAAATAGGATAATGTAAAAGCATAAAACGTTAAAAAAAAAAAACACTTTGTGTCGCGCTCCAATATTAATATATACAAAACAATTTGTGCAAAACAATAAATGGAGTCCTGGTAAACTTTAACGTCATATCAATCATGCTAGTGTTGAATGCATACAGAAAGTCCTCAAAACAATCCGTGATCCTGTGGTGTCTTCAATAATATAGTGCAAAAAGTAGTTTAAAGTATAATCCACCAAATTTATATATAAATATTGTGCTCCTTCACCAGTTGTGCTCTCACCTGATGTATATTACCAAACCGTTAAGTGAAGTCATACAAGCTTGTGTCCCTTTAATTGGGCTCAGGATTGAACAGATTGATAAATTCCTGTATCCCAGATGGATGGATCTATAAATGGAGTTTTTCCTTTTTCCAGCAGGGGGTCTCACCATTATCAAGAGATCCTTTTCTGAATGGGGATGGATGGATTTATCCCTTTTCCCACTAGGGGGTCTCTTAGTTCCTTCCAGACTATTAAAATATAGTGCACTCACATGTTAAATAAAAAACGCCTTTGGTACAAATTTGCTTGGTCTTTAGTATGTTTTACACACTCCCATATACTTGCTGTGTGATTTGCCTTTAAGCGTTGTGACGTCAGAGCCCCTCCCCGCTCTGACGTCACAATGCTTAAAGGCAAATCATACAGCAAGTATATGGGAGTGTGTAAAACATACTAAAGACCAAGCAAATTTGTACCAAAAGGCGTTTTTTATTTGTTTAACATGTGAGTGCACTATATTTATTTAATACATCTTTTAAAAAAAAGAGGATAAGGCACTATATTTTCTTTTTAATTACATGGGAACACTTACAGTATATATGGAGGAGAAAGTCTGAAAGGATCTAAGAGACCTCCTAGTGGGAAAAAGGATAACTCCATCCATCCACATTCAGAAAAGGATCTCTTGATAACGGCAAGACCCCCTGCTGGAAAAGGAAAAAAACTCCATTTATCCATCCATCCATCTGGGATTTATCCATCTGTTCAATTCTGAGCCCAATTATAGGGACACAAGCTTGTATGACCTCACTTAACAGTTTGGTCATATACATCAGGTGAGAGCACAACTGGTGAAGGAGCACAGTATTTATATATAAATTTGGTGGATTATACTTTATACTACTTTTTGAACCATATTGAATACACTACAGGATCACGGATTGTTTTGAGGATTCCTTCTGAGGACTTTCTGTATGCATGCAGCACTAGCGTGATTGATAATATCACGTTAAGAAAATTTACCAGGACTCAGTTTATTGTTTTGCACAAATTGTTTTGCATGTATATTAATAGTGGAGTGCGACACAAAGTGTTTTTTTTTTATTTGATATAGACACATTGGTATGGGTATGTGTGTAGTGTAGGCGACCCACTCAATTTTATATAGATATTTATTCAATTAATTCAGTCACTGAATCATTTATATTTATAATTTTATTTTATTTACTTTAATTAAAAATTAGTAAAATTAAAATACACCATAGTCACTCACAAGAATCACATTTCTAAAAAAAAGCATAAAACATATTATAGTATTAACAGTAGCGTGGTCTTACCCTGGCATCATTATCAGCAAGTTCGTCATTCACACGGGTATCTTCAGATCTTGAAGCCTACAAGATATTAGAGAACATTATTTGCATTTACAGCAATGTGTTACAAAATCACATCAGAAATTAATTTAAATAAATTAAAGATGTATTGCCCATTCTCCTGCAATACAGGAACAGATTTCCATCTTTGGAACAGGTTCTAACTTGGCCAAGAATATTATAACAATGTGTAATTTAAAGTGGAATTCCAGGCTACACTTAACCCCTTCATTATTATTATACAGGATTTTTTAGCGCCAACAGTTTGCTCAGCGCTTTACAATATAAAAGGAGACAATACAGCAACAATACAGTTCAATACAAGAGGGAAAGGAGGACCCTGCTCCTTGGAGCTTACAATCTAGGAGGGAGGGGCTAGTGGTACCAAAAGGTAGTAACTGTGGGGGATAGACTGGTTGGAAGAGTAGAAGACTCCATTATTAGCTGAGGGCAGGATAGGCTTCCCTGAAAAGATAGGTTTTCAGAGATCGCCTAAAAGTGAGCAGAGTAGGCAATAGTCTGATAAATTGGGGTAGAGAGTTCCAGGGGATGGGGGAAGCTCTGGAAAAGTCCTGGAGACGAGCATGGGAGGAGACAAGAGAGCTAGAGAGCAGGAGGTCTTGCGAGGAGCGGAGAGTACGGTTTGGGTGATATTTAGAGACATGCCTAAGGGTAAAACAAATCTAAATGCCTAAGCACAATTTTGCAACTTTGACATGTGTTAGTGAAACTGTACATATCACCACAACTACTTTGTACATCCAGGTGAATTATACCTTGTTTTTTTCAGGACAAATTGGGCTTTCATTTGGTGGTAAATGGTAATGGATATCTCCTGATTTTTTTTTTAATTATCAAAGAAAATCTGGCCCAAAATACTAAAAAATCATTTTGTTTATTTAGCTGTGTGTTTCTTGTTACTGCCATAACCTACCACCAAAAGAACAACCCAAAATACATTTTCTAGCTCTTGACGATCGCAGCAATGCCATATATGTGTATGTTATTTGTTGTTTGTACCAGTAGTACAGCCCAGAAACAATAGTGCACATTTTGCTTTTGTCTTTTACGTAAAACACACTGAAACCAAATTTTTTTAAAATCCTGACCTTTGACGTTGACCTTTGACCCTGACCTTGACCCAAACACTAACCCTGGCACTGAACTAGATCAAACTTTGATCTACGCATTTATTCTTTATTTTTTATATTTATTTATATCTTTTTAATTTTTTTTTTTTTTTACAAAAATGTTTTTTTTTCTCTCTATGCCAGGAGTTCGAGAGATACAATGTATCTCTCTACTCCATTCATAGAGAAAAAAAAACAATAGGGACGGGCTGTACAGTGACTGATCACTGTGATAGCCAATCAGAGGCTATCACGGCGATCATGTGACTCGGAATCGGGAGTCCCGGGTCCTGATTGGTCTCTGTGCTGGGAGCGCGCCACACAAAGACCGGTACGCAAATATGCGGCCCCACGGAAAAAAAGCACAGTTCTGTGAGGCCACATATTTTTGTGTTACGTCAGCTTCAAGGGGTTAAATAATCTTACAAATGCTCCCTTTCCCATCCTAACACCTATACAGATTAATATGCATACGAATAAAAGTATATACTTGCCTATTTCATCCTGCTCTGGTCACCTGATCCCCTTGTGTTAGTCAGTGGCGGCTGCAGGAGAGAGGAGAGAATGCTCGGCAATTACCGGTAATGTCTGAGAGCGGTGACATCACTCATGGGCTTACTAAGGCCCATCCATTCTCAGCCCTCCCGCTGACAGACACAGGGGAAGAGATCACATGACCAGAGCTGCCTGAAAATAGGTAAAATATATGCATCTTTCTTACACAGGTTAGTTATGTTTAGTTAGGATAGGTGTTGGGAGGGAGGGCATTTTTAAGATTACTTAGGTATAGCCTGAAATTCCACTTTAACTTTCTAAGATGGCTGTATTTCTACAAGCAATAGGAACAAGAGGAATGGCTTTTTATGTACAAAAAGGTCAGAAGTGCACGTCAACACGTGAGTGCAAATATTTAATTATTTTTATTAAACTAGTAAACTAGTGAAATTTTATGGAAAGCATTATAAATAAGGTGAGATCACAAGTGTGGTGGATTGGTTCACAAAAGCTGAAGTTTGAATTGAGCAGCAGAAGGAACAGTTCATATTTTGTTTTCAATTACATCATGATTACTATTGAATTTGAGCACAGTTTTGGACTGGTTTTAAGTATACATATACACTGCACTGCATTATTATGATTATTCTTCAGGATCTATATAATACCAACAGTTTGCGCAGCAATTTACAACATGAGGGCAGACAGTACAGTTACAATACAATTCATCAATACACAAGGAATCAGAGGGCACTGATTGTTAGAGCTTACAATCTAAAAGGGAGGGTCAAATGATACAAAAGATAATTATTGTGGAGGATAAACTGATGGAGAAGCTGGTGGAATAGGCTTCTCTGAAGAGAAGAGTTTTCAGGGATCGCCTACCAGGTGGAGTATGAGATGGAGTAGATGATAGCCAAACAGATTGAATTAGGAACATCCGAAGGATGGGAAAGGCTCAGGAAAAAAGTCCTAGAGGCGACTACAGGAGGAGATGACAAGAGAGCTGGAAAGCAGGAGGTCTTGGGAGGAAAAAAAAGAATGATTTGGTTGGCAAATTGAGACTAGGATAGTGATGTAGCTGTGGGACCAATTGTGGATGGCTTTGTAGGTTATTGTTAGTATTTTGAATTTAATTCATTGTTTAAATGGCAGTCAATGAAGGTATTGGCAGAGAACGGTAGCAGACACTGAACGGTTAGTAAGGTGGAAGAGCCTGGCAGCAGCATTCATGATGGACTGAAGGGGGGATAACCTATGTAAAGGTAATCCAAAGAGGAGAGAGTTAAAGTAGTTGAGGTGAGAGATAACCAGAGAGTGATTTAGATGCATTGTGGTGTCAATGGATAGGAAGAGGCATATTTTGGAGATGTTGCGGAGGTTGAGGTGAAAAGTTTTGACAGTGATTGGATGGGGGACAAAGTCCAGGATTACAACTAGGACCCTGGCATGTGGGGATGGGTTGATGGTTGTGCCATTGATCTTGACGGAGAAGTCAGGAGAAGGGGGGAGGAAATATTATGAACTCGGTTTTGGATAAATTGAGTTTAAGGAAGTGGTGTGATATCCAGACTGATATGTCGATCAGTAAATTAGTGATGTGTGAGAAGACTGATGTTGTGAGCCGATGGGTAGAGAGATAGATTTGGGCTTCGTCAGTGTAGAAATTATATTAAAAGCCATGGAAGTCCATCAGCTAACCCAGGAAGGAGATGTAGATCAAGAATAGGAGAGGTCCAAGAACAGAACCTTGGGGGACCCCAACCGAGAAAGGAAGAGGAGAGGAGGAAGTGGAATTGTAAGTGACCCTGAAGGTGAGGTGGGATAGGTAGGATGAGAACCAAGGAAGGGTACAGTCACCCAGACCATAAGAATAATGTTTTTTGAGGAGGAGGTGGTCAACCATATCAAAAGGCAGACAAAAAGGTCCAGAAGTAGGAGTACAGAATAGTTCCCATTGGTTTTAGCTGTAAGTAGATAATTTGTGAGTTTTAGGAGAGCACTTTCTGTGAGTGTTGAGGACAAAATCCAGACTGAAGGGGATCAAGGTTATTCTTATTGAGGTGGTCACTCACTTGGCTGTAGACCAGGCATTCAAGGACTTTGGAGGAAATGCGGAGCAAGGAGATGGGGTGCTGGTTGTTACAATTGGTGGGGTCCAAGAAAAGCTTTTAAAGTATGGGGGCAACTAATTCATGTTTAAGAGAGTTGGGAAAGATTCCAGAAGAGAGGAAGACATTGAAGATGTGAGTTAGAGTGTAGAATAGTGCCAGAGGGTGACCACAGTAATTGAGAGCAAACATGGTCCAGGGGGCAGGTGGTTAGATAGGCATTAGAAAATAAAAAAAAAGTTTAGCAACCTCATCTATGGTAGTGGGGTTTAATGAGTGGAGTAATTATTGTACCTGTGGACATGGAGTGTAAAGGGGGGGGGGGTGGGGGGTATCTGTGCAGCAGAGATCTCATCACGAAATGTATCACTTTGGGTTTTTTTTTTTGTTTTAGTGATTGGCGATTTCCTGAGCAATGAGTGAGTTAGTGGGTGGAGGCAGTGAAGGACGAAGAAGAGAATTGAAGGTAAGGAAGAATTGACAGGGATTGGATGAGAAGTTGTTTATGAGAGTGATAAAATAGATCTGCTTGGCAGTGTGGAGGCAGGAATTGTATTTTTGGAGGGCATATTTATATTGGTTGAAGTCTTTCTGAGACTTAGTCTTATGCCACAGATACTCAAGAGCACGTCTATGTTTTTTGAGACTTCTGGTGTCATCTGTTTGCCAAGGTTGTGGGGGTCGGGGCCTGATTCTATGTGTAGTGATGGGAGCAAGCTCATCCAGGGTGGAGGATAGGAATCTATTGTAGACAGAAGTGGCTAGATTGGGGCAGGATAGCGGTGAGATTTTGTCATAAAGGTGGTCAGCAGCAGAATAGAGAAGAGAGGGGTTAATGTGGCCAACGTTTTTGCGGTAATTGTTAGTCATTTGGCAGGAGAGGTGGTGGAACTAATAAGGTGTTCGATCCAAGAGAGGAAAAGGATTATTAGAGAGGTTGCACAAATTCATGATAGGAGAATACAAGGTCAAGGATGCTGCCATTGGAATAAGTAGACGCATGCATCCACTGCTTCAGGTCAAAAGAGGAGGTTAGACGGTGACGTTTAGGAGTAGCAGGAGTGTTAGTATAAACAGGGATGTTGACATCACGGAGAATTATTGTGTGAATTTCACAAGAAAGAAAGTAGGGCAGCTACAAGGAGAAGACATCAAGGAAAATTAATACCGGTCCAGAGGGGTGGTAGATCACTGTGATTCTTAAAGAAATTTGAGAGTATAGATATATACGGTGAGCTTCAAAGATGAGAGGGAGGAGAGTGAAGAACCTGAAAAGTGCTCTGTGAGGATAGGATTCCCACACCACCTCCCTTCCATCCACTGGGTCTGAGGGAGTGAGTCCACAGAAGGCCACCAAGGAAGAGGAAAGCAGGAGAAGCAGTGTCAGATTCATGAAGCCAGTTTTTGGTAACAAATATTTTAAAGGAGATAGTGACAAAGAGCTCATGGACAGAGGTGAGTTTGTTGTAGCCAGAGCGGGCATTCCAAAGGAAACAGAAGAAGGGAAGGCTGGTTTTGGGAAGAAGAGGTATGAAAACTAAATTGTGCAGATTGCTGCTGCTGTCTGAGGGTGCAGGGTGATGGGTGTGTTGGGTACAGTTAAATGATGAAGGCCTAGGGTTGGGAGATTTATCCTCAGATGTTAAGAGAAGAAGAGTGAGGGAGGTAACATGGGAGTGCAATTTATATGAAGGGACATGCCTCAGCATCCTGGGGGGTTTCTTAGCATATGGGATTAGAATTAGGAGGAGGTGATGAGTGCACTAATAAAGAGAGGACAGAAGTGAGTGATATATATATATATACAGGTTGTGGAGTGAAGAAGAGAGGTGAAGAGCGAAAGTTTAAGGAGAGAGAACACAACTGTGAAAAGAAAAAGGGAGAATGCGCATGTTACAGAGAGGAAGGAGAGCCAATTAGAAAAAACGATTTCACCTGCAATCTGGTGAAAGTAGTTTGCTGTAGATGTTCGCTTTGTGCAGTAACGGAAGTGCAAGAGTGAAAGTGCCACTTAATCAAAGAATACTACTTTATTGAAGGAAACCTAACATGGTCCCCGCTAGCATGTTCTGCCCCATAAAGGTGGTCTAGCTTTATACTGTGGTGGGGGTGTGTGGAATTTGTCAGTTAATCAATTTGTCAATTAAAAATATCACAGAATTAATGTGCGCAGATGGGCTACAGATGATTAAGGCAACAGCAGCATAGATGCAGAGTTTACCATAAAGACATTGAAAGCAGTCAGTCAGTATTCAGTTGTAGGTAGATGTGAAGCAGCAGCATAGATGCAGAGTTTACCATAAAGACATTGAAAGCAGTCAGTCAAACATCGCAATCACACTGCAAGAGGATCAAGAGGGCAGGGTTGTAAAAATTCAACATTAGGACATTGAAAGCAGTCAATCAGCATTCAGTTTTAGGTAGATGGAATCAGGAGCAACATAGATGCAGTTTACCATAAAGACATTGAAAGCAGTCAGTCAGTATTCAGTTTTAGGTGGATCTGAAGCATTATTCATTACTTTTTGTTATAGGGTTAAATCTACTGTGCCTATTGGTTAAACCAGTCCTGCATGAATAAATTTAACATAGCAAAATGTCATACTAATATAGAGCAACATACCGCTAAAAGTGCAAGTAGACCTTTTTGGAAATGACCAGATGTATCTGATGTGATATCCTTTGCCAAATCAGTCTTATACTCTGCAGAATAAAAAAGGAACTTTTCAACATTGTGCTGAGTGTTTGAGTAACTGTTATAATTCATGTATATAATCGTACGTCCTACAGAACCTATGGTTGATTCATTTACAATTGGATGTTTTGGTTTTTTTTTTTTTAAAAAAAAACATTGGCTTACCCTAATTCAATAAAGGACATGCATCTAACTAGACAGACACTAGAACCCTACATATTATGGAGTTAATTTCCTTTTTACTATTCAGCATTCACAATACTTTTCAAAGTTGTGCATTCTACAAGTATAGGTGTATTTCAATGGTGCACTGCGTGAATCAGTCTGTGCTAGACATGGGTTGCCTGGTCCTACGTTCTGAACCCTAACATTTTCACTCATCTCTAAACTCGAAATATATCATATATTTAAACAATAAACAAACATTCTTCGTGTTATTTGGTGCACGATGTACACTACAGGCAGAGCCAAAAATCTGACCATTGTTAAAAATATTATAATGTAAGCAGACAGTAATAATATGAATATTACATCACAAATTGGCTTTCAGCAAACACAAAAATAAGATGCAATTACATGATAGTTTCCCCTGAATACTTACTTTCTTTGTAGACTGCTTTTATCTTCCTGATCTCCTCGTTTGATCTTGATGCCAAAATTTCAATCAGTGTATCCTCATCAGTTCCCATTCCCTATTAAACATACAAAAAAAATGTACATTATGCTACACAAAACATGTTTGCTTATAATGTCCGTAACAAAAAGTTTATTTTAAATAGCAACTGTACTATTGATGAAAATCATTACAGATAAAATATGTTTAAATATTTGAACTACAATATTTTATGACTGCGTGTATCTATTGATCCTCCTGAATGCGTACAGCTAAATTAGATATGAGTTATCATTATTTACTCTAGCTACAGTAAGTCAGATATCAGACTTTATTTAGCCAAGTCATATATGATTTGACTGTATTTACATTACCTTGGTGGCAAATTTCAGCTCCTCGGCATCATATTCTTCTGGAGTTTTCAGCAAGTTTAAAACAACCTCCTCATAATGGCCAGAAAGAGCTTTCTTGAGAGCTTCTTCCAGAGGCTAGAAATACATTGTGCATAGTCAAAACCTGTTCTTCAAGTTAAATACTATGTAGTATTTAAGATAATACAGAAAAACAACAGATAAGTACAGTCTAAAAAGTCAGATAATTTTCGAGTCAAAAGATCAGGGTTTGTGACAATAGGGATTCAACAATGAGTCTGCATTTTTGCCAACCTACAGTCAGGTCCATAAATATTGGGACATTGACACAATTCTAACATTTTTGGCTCTATACACCACCACAATGGATTTGAAATGAAACAAACAAGATGTGCTTTAACTGCAGACTGTCAGCTTTAATTTGAGGGTATTTACATCCAAATCAGGTGAACGGTGTAGGAATTACAACAGTTTGCATATCTGCCTCAAACTTTTTAAATAGGGGGCCAGTTCACTGTTCCTCAGACCGTTGGAGGGCCAGACTATAGTTTCTAAATAAAAAATAGTGCCCCATCATTGGTGTCAGTGGGAAGAAACATGCCCCATCATTAGTGTCAGTGGGAAGAAACGTGCCCCATCATTGGTGTCAGTGGGAGGAATAGTGCCCCATCATTGGGTGTCAGTGGGAGGAATCGTGCCCCATCATTGGTGTCAGTGGGAGGAATCGTGCCCCATCATTGGTGTCAGTGGGAGGAATCGTGCCCCATCATTGGTGTCAGTGGGAGGAATCGTGCCCCATCATTGGTGTCAGTGGGAGGAATCATGCCCCATCATTGGTGTCAGTGGGAGGAATCATGCCCCATTGTTGGTGTCAGTGGGGGGAATAGTGCCCCATTGTTGGTGTCAGGGGTTGGGAGGAATAGTGCCCCATCATTGGTGTCAGTGTGGGGGGGGGAATAGTGCCCCGTCATTGGTGTCAGTGGGGGAAGGGGATAGTGTCCCAACATTGGTGTCAGTGGGAGGAATAGTGCCCCATCATTGGTGTCAGTGGGAGGAATAGTACGTGATTTGTGTCCGTGGGGGAGAATAGTGCCCTGCCATTGGTGTAAGTGGGGGGGGGGAATAGTGTCCCAACATTGGTGTCAGTGGGAGGAATAGTACTCCATCATTGGTGTCAGTGGGGGAAGGAATAGTGTTCCATAATCTATGTCAGTGGGGGGGGGGGGGGAGGAATAGTGCCCCATCATTGGTGTCAGTGGGGGAAGGAATAGTGTTCCATCATCTATGTCAGTGGGGGGGGAGGAATAGTGCCCCATCATTGGTGTCACTGGGGGGAGGAATAGTGCCCCATCATTAGTATCAGTGACACCAATGATGGGCACTATTCCTCCCACTGACACCAATGACACTTAACTTGCTGACCCCTGCTCCAGCATGGTGCTGCTGCAGCCAACATACCTGGTTGCAGTAGCACCATCAGCACGGCACACTTATCTGTCGCGGGGCCGCTCGGCTCCGCCTCCTCACAGGTGATTGGCCGCCTGTGTGCCTTTCCTGAGCTACAGTTCTGGCGCCCAATCACCGGTGAGGAGGCGGAGTGAGGGAGTGGCCGGAGTGAATGAAGGAGCAGCGCTTCCTGGACTGGATCGTCGTGGGACTGGGACCAGAGCCAGGTAAGGTACAGCAGCCCCCTGCCAGCCCCTGTACTTAGTGTCCCTTCCTCGCGGCAAATAAGCCCCTGTCGGCGGGCCGGATAAATGGCCTCGGCGGGCCGCATGTGGCCCGCGGGCTGTACTTTGAGGACCCCTGATATAGGCTTTACAATCTCTGTAGGCAACGTGGACTCCAGGCTTGCTCTAAAACAGTTGCAGGAGACTGGGCTAAAAGCGTCTTCATGTTTTGGCAGAGATCTTCCTTGGTGTTAAGTCATCTTAGAGTCCTCCTTGTCAGCCTAACCTGCAGACCTTTTATTTGAAAGTTTACCATCCCCACATGGGTGTGGCCCCTTTCACAATACAGTGTGTCAATGCCAGAAACATTCTCCAATTCGACCTCTTGATGACACTGTGGTATCATACATGCCACAGGTCATATATATCATATAAAAGTCAAGCTGTGTTTGGCTCTGGTTACAGAATAGACTGACAATTGTCACTGAAATACAATGGTATTTATGTTACCGTTGTATCCAGCAGAAGTATCTCTTCAAAGTCCAAGAAACTTGATGTCTGTTTCCAAGATTAACTGGCTGAGGAAATCAGTACACATATAATCGAATGCAATAAAAGGTCCTAAAGCAGGATTTAAGGACAGTGGGCTTTCTTTTCTAAAATCAAAGCCCTCTCAGGGGCAAACTGATGACTCATGGGGCCCCCGTGCAATAGGGGATCATGGGGCCCCTGTGTCCTTGCCCACACTCAAAAAAGCCTATAAAAAGATACCAGGGGCATTTCATGGAGCCCCCTACTGACCCCGGGCAGTGCCGAGTGCCTGAATGATCAGTCCATCCCTGAGCCCTCCCCTCATCACGCAACACAGACCAACAAAAAAAATCGTATTTCTTGGTGCCTTGCTTTTTAGACCTGTTACTGGGCATTTAGGGTGCTGATTCAGAAAATTGTTTTGGCTAGACTGCATCAGTCTCAGGTATTTCTTAGGTATGGCTTTTAGTCAGTCAGTTTATAGTCTTGCTGATCAACTTGTTCTTTTGTTACCTAGTTTGTGTTTTTGCATTCAAGTTAGCAGATATAGTGAGTATTTATGTACTTCCAACTGTAATTTTACATTGAAATCATTGGATTCTAAAGTGTAAGTTATTCACTGTATTATAGCTATGATCATACTGTATAGGAGGTATGTGTATATTGCCACTCCTATCCTTTTTATATTTGCAGATCAAGCACTGTAGAGGTTATGGTTACTATTTTATTGTGTTTCTTTCATGCTACAAGGAGATCAAATAAAACACTACATTAAAATATCCTGATTTTTTTTTTTTGTTACCCAAAGTGAAGAGCAATGTGTGGCATTTATGCTGTGTCTCAAAAACTAGAGCTGATAGGGAAACATTGGTGTCATTTCTGGAATCAGCTGGCCAAATGTGCCCAAGAGCAGGTGTAACATTCAAGGCGCCAAAATGTTTATTGGACGGCTTTATTTTTACTTATTTGCTTTCCCAACACTTATTGCCACCCTAACACTTACCTCTCTCTGTCCTTTAAAATTAATTTCTAACACTGAAATATAACTACTAAACTCATTCCAGAAATGTGTCACCAAGTTTGCAACCCTCTTGTTTTTTTTTTCATTATTATATTATCAGCTTCGGAAGCAATATAGTCACCGTGTTACTCGGCCTACATTTTATGGCTCATTAATAAAATTTAAGAAATTGTTTGGAGCTTGAGGTATTTCACAACAGCAGAGATAACTGTAGTTAAAAGAAAGGATGGATTCTTGTTAACTGGCTGCTGTAACTTTATCTTACCATATTTATAAGGAGAACGCCAAAGGTTTTTGAGTAATTGCTTTTTATCACTTTTTTATTTGGTTGTGTGTTTGTGTTCACTGTCATAACTCAGAGAACAGAGTAAAATTATCTCCCTGATTATGAGGTCTGTGGTGTTCAAGTAAAGAGAAAATGGGAAATAAAGCCTTTACATACAGTATAGTATTGTTTCATTTATTGTTTTGGTACAATACCTTTCCTATTGTACACTGGTAAGCATCCTTAATGGCCTGCAACTGTGCATTACTTCTTTTTGTCACAATATTGGTGATGCTTGCCTCGTCAACACCTTAAAAAAAAAAATATATATATATAAACCTGTGCTAATAAGAACTACAATAATCAATAAATGAGTTGTGAAACATAGTAGCTGAACACAAAAACTCTGATCAGCAATAAATACATAAAAGTGCAGCGCATGATTATTTGTCACTTTTTTTAAGCGCTGCACTTTTCAGTATTTATACCTTTAAAAAAAATAGCAGAATTCATTCATGCAATAGAAGACCAAAGCTATAGCATTTTTTTTTAGCTGAAAATGTTTTTCATTTATATAGAAGAGAGTGAATTGGCAAAAGTATTGCATTAGGGCCACTAGCTCACAAGACTTATTTATTATGCTCCTCAGCTCCATTTATTGATCTTAATTACTATTATTACAGGTACTGCGCCGTCAATTTATGCAGTGCTTTACATATAAATATCTTGTATATTCACATCAGTCCCTTCCCTTAAGGAGCTTAAAATCTAAGGTCCCTAACTTACATACACATACTGGGGCAAATTGAGACAGGAGCCAATTAACCTACCAGCATGTCTTTGGAGAGTGGGAGGAAACAAGAGTACCCAGAAGCACAGGGAGAACATGCAAACTTCATGCAGGTAGTGCCCTAGGTTGGGATTCGAACCAACAATCCTAGTGCTGTTAAGCAGCAATGCTAACCACCTAACCACTGTGCCTTAAAGGATAAGTACACCTTTCTAAATATGTTACACCCATATTTAGGTAGTAACCTGTTCAGCTTTAACCTCCTCTCCTTCCAATCCTCCTCCCTCTCTGTGACAGCAGGCAGGAAATCTTCTCCCCGCACTCGCTGTCACAATTTGAAAAATAACATGGCTGTGTGGGGCTCCACCCACACAGCTGCACCATTCATTCATAGTTTCCTGTGAATGAACTGACTACAAGTACCATCAGCCATTGTGGCTGACAGCTTGTAGCTTCCAATGCACTACAGGGGGTGCTGGTGAGCGAACACGTAGTCCATGGATCTTCCTGCTCTCATAACTGCCTGCCTGCATCAGAGGTATGGGCAGACCGCTAGCCTGAGAGTCTGCAGGAGCCTGACATTACACCTGTGATCTGCTGATTGTGGGTGCAATGCTTTACAGGCTCCTTAGAAAAAGATAAATGCACTTTTTTTTTACCTGCAAAAAAAATGTGCATTAATTATTTTTTAATGGTCAACTTGGCCTTTAATGCAGTATTTTTCTGATTCATTATTTTGTATGAATAAAAACATTTGACCTGGAAAGGAAATAGTCTAATCGCATACATTTGTGCCCCCATTCACACTGAATAAAAGTACATACAGTTTCACAGGATGAATAGCTCTGCAGATTGTTTATAAATACCTCCCATAGGGTTTTATAAGAGCTGGTTTGGCATTGCTTTTGGGCAAAGGTACTTCTGCTACCTTTGGGTGTTGACATTTTTCCCACAAGGATAGCTATTAGACTAATAGTTCAACTGATTAATTCAAGTTCTAGGGTTAGGTTAGACATAATTAAGGAGTAAAGGCAGTATTAAACCCAAGAACAAACATAAATTATATTGCAGCTTACCATTTCTTAAATGTGATGCCTGCATTAGTTATCTTTTTAGGCTCTCTTTGTTCTATTTTCAACTAGCGATCCAGTAAGTCTTATTTTTCAAAGAAACCATTTACCACTGACAGGGGTGCTTACAATGATAAGCTTTTATTTATGTAAAACCTTTACCCCAAAAGGTAAAAAAACTAACTGCTAAATGTGTGAGCTGGAGTGTGGCTTCAGTTTGTTAGTGTATTTAAATATGCCAATGCATCTAACACTCCGATCCCCCTAGAATAACAATGCTGCTGTCTAAAAATGTCACTGTGTTCTTTCATCCAGAGTGTAGGCACTCTAATACTGGAGGTGTGTTACTGGCTAGGTGACCAGGTGAAAGCAGAGAGGGAAAAAAGTCTAAAAAAAGAAAACTAATGATTGGTAAGCTGCATTTTTGGTTTTGGTGTTAATACTGTTTTGGCATTAACATTAGAGGTTCCATTACATGTTAGTCTTGTGCTCAGGAGTCAAGGGAGTGGATTTAAAACCAAGGCTAACATTTAGAGGTGAAATATGGTTAAAGTGTATCTAAATCTAAAAACAAAAATGTGATATATTGTAGTTTAACAGTCCTTAGATGGCATGACTGCATTTTCTTTTTTAGACTGTTTCCTTTTTTTTCATCTGGTAAACCTGAAAAGAACATTTACTGTCCTTGATTCCTGTACTCACTCTACTGTATGCATGGAAGCAGGTTGTTATCCAGGCTGGAACTCAAAAATGTATGCCTCTGTTTATTTCAATTACATGCAGATTAATAGGGCTAGTAGTTTTAATAAAGAAAGATAAGATTGGCTGTGCGTTCTGCTCAGCTCCTATGAAGTAAAGGACCCTGCATTTCTAGCAAGATCAGTGGTATTTTCTACACTAGCTGAAAATTTTAATAGCCACCAGGTTTAACCTCCCTAGCGGTCTGATTATGTCAGTATTTCTGTGCTCAAAGCGGTACATTTTTTTGCATGGAAACATGTTTTTTTATTGTAGGCCTGTAATTTTTAGGAATAACTCACTGAAATCTGTCCAAACAAGAGTCTAGTAAACATCCCGGGTATAATAAAACTTGAAACACAAAATCATAAATTATAATATAATAAATAATCATAAAAAATAATATAATAATAAATGTAATCACACCAAAAACACTGAAATTTGAAATAGAGCGCCAAGTTCGCACATCACTGAGCAAAGTCGCAAAATCGTTTTCAGTGTCTGATGATGAATTTCCCCATGAATCAATTATCACTCAATTCTGCAAGTGGTTCTGATTTACTATCACTGTTCTCTAGCTGGTCTAAAACTGCTTTTGACATAAAGGGACGCTTTTTGGACGCCATGGACGTTTCTCAGTTTCCAGGCAGAAAGAACAGTAAAAATGCAGGCAGAGAACAGGACAAAGCAGTAGGGACAAAATGTATGTGAAATGCTTGGATACAGGAAAGTAATACTATCAGATTTTAGTGTATTTAGTGAATGTCACATTTTTCCATTTTTGAATTTCCCACTGGTTCTGTCTCCCGTACGTACCGACGCTCACAGCGAACGCAAACCGGAAGACGGATGCCGGCATCGGCCGGAGGACATTGCAGGGGACACTGCAGGGGGGACATCGTGGGACCACAGGACAAGGTAAGTGAAACAGGGATCCCGGAGAAACGCTGCAGGGTATTCCTGAGTGTAACTCTGGGTTACCACTTTTGTTACTGAAACTTTACCCCGAGCTACACTCGGGAATACCGCCAGGGGGGTTAAAGACTGGTAAACTGCAATTTATATCACATTTTTGTTTTTGGGTTTGGAATGTTTAAGTGTTAGAATTAGATTTAGAAATTATTTATTGCACCAGGTTAGGGTTTAAATTTCAAGGGCTAGGTCACATGTTCGGCTAAGTTCACACTATTGCGGGTGATTATGGGTGCAAGAATCACACCTGTTCCTGGACCCAAAATGAGCTGCTCTTTAAACACGTGTGGAGCTTCCATTAATTCTTAATAGCACCCCCATGCATCTAAAAATGCAGCATATTTTTAAGTGTAAGAATTGCAGGGCAATTGCAAGGTGCAATAGTACCATGCAATTTTCTGCCCGCTGCGCTTTCAAAATGCTACAGGAACCTTTTTCCTGTGTAAAATGCGACACAGCAGCCCATTCAAATAAATGGGCTGGCATGCCCGCACAGAAAGAAAGAAAAAGCCGCTTCATAGTGTAAAACCTTTTTAAAATAAAGTAGCCGAGAATTTCACTCACATAAACGCTAACGCACGTACATATATTCACCTGACCATCATCAGCATCCACTTCCTGGAACCAGGTAAAGCGCACTGATGTCAGAACGAGGCTTCACCCAATATATTTCATGATCAAAAGACGTCTTCGTTGCCCCAGAAGATGACTTTTGATAACAAAATGGGTTTGGCGGAGAGGCTCTTTCTTGCCTTACATGAATGTTAAGAGGGAAACCGCTGCTCTTACCTTATTGATGGTGCTCCTGGGTGAAGCTGAGGCTGCCTGGAAGGTGACTCAGATACTGTGAGAAACAGAAGCATTTTCTGACCACTCTTAAGTATAAGGGGGTCTTGGGAAGTTGGTAAGAGACCACTCTATTACCACCTTGAGTGTACATTAGTTGTCAGTGGCAGGAGATTTGGGAAGAGGCGTGGTTTTACTTTCCAGAAAATGTTTTTGAATGGGACTGTTTATGGATTTTTTTTATTTCAATTTAATTTTTCACTTTAAGTTTTTATTATGCATTTAATGTACATTTTTGCACGTTAGTTGTTTTATATTAAGAGCAACACATTTTTATTTCTATTTGTACCCACTAGAAAGGATAGCTTCTGGTTTGTGATTGCTGCTAAAAAGCTTTTTTTCTTGACTTTTTTTGTTTTTATGCACAAGTGCGCGGTTTTAACTAAAATTTTTGCAAAAGAATAGAAGGGTCATAATTAATGGTGGAATACTAAAGCATTATACAGATAAAAGTGAAGGGATGGACGCTACTCAACCGACCCCAAGAATCCAATGTTGAGGAATGGCTTCAGCCGCTATTCTGGCCACACCCACTGACACATTTTGCCCCGCCCACCAGGGCAAAACACATCAGTTGGGGTGTGGCCAGAATGGCGGCTGAGGCCATTCCTCAACATTGGACTCCTGGGGCCAGTTGAGCAGCGTCCATCCCTTCACTTGAATTGGCTGACACTGGAATCACTCACTCATGCTACCCTCTTCTCATTTGCCGGTGAGGTGATCTTTTTCCTTCTATCCATAGCTTGGAACGGCGCCATAAGTTATACTTTTCACTATTATACAGATATATTTACATATACGTTTGTCTTTATTCTTTAAGGCTTCCAGGTGAGTGTTATAATTACTGTATGTAGGCACTAGACAGTAAATTATTTGCAACAGTTTCAACAACTGACAACAAATACCTTTTGCTTTAATGGCCTTGTCTAGGATAGCGACATCTCCAGACGCATCATAGGATGGAGCTGCATGAAGACCACCAGAAACATGTTGCTAAAAAGGAGGAAAAATACATGAGTGCTTAAGAAATAAATCACAGCTGAAAATACCGTTGGTGCTAAAATGTGTAAAACTGGAGCATAATTACAGTGTAACAGAGAGTGGATCCACATTATACTCTGCACAACTACAGCCTGCATTTTACAACCCATTCATAAAATTCATTGTTGAGCCAACAGTGCCCCATGGAGATCTATCTAAAGTTAGGAGAGCTTCCTCATTAGAGGGGAGCTGGTCATGTGACTAACAGTTCACATTAGTGGGCTCTACTACCTGCTTTTTCCTTATTGTACTTGCTTATTTGTATTACTCTTCATTGGCTTTAGACACCCAAAGCCTGTAGAGTCCAATGCACATTTATAAACCAAGTACGTTTTAAATGTGCTGTGTTTTTTTTTTTTTAAGCAGTGGTATTGTCTTCTGTGAGAATACAGATTGATGCAGTATAGCCTAATGTGAACCTGTGTCCAGCCCCCATTTTAAAAATGCAGGAAAATTACTTTTAAAAACAAGCCATATTCATATCTGTATCTATCAACATTTTGTATAAATAACTTCCCAAAATTCATAACACCAACATTGAATCTCGGCAGCCAGCCAGCCCTGTAATAGAAACACACAGGAGTGTTGTTAGAAACAGCTGAATGGACTCTAGAGTCTTTGATGCGAGTTAATACCTGTCATTTTTAGTTAAATAAGGGTTTTATACTATTGTGGTTTTGGTTTTCTCTGCATTTTATTGATGCCTGGATCACATAAAAATTTAAATTGAAGTGCTACACCAGAGGCCCAGATACACCTTTATTCCAATAAAAGTCAGTGGGACAATACAGTGGGGCAAAAAAGTATTTAGTCAGCCACCAATTGTGCAAGTTCTCCCACTTAAAAAGATGAGAGAGGCCTGTAATTGGCATCATAGGTAGACCTCAACTATGAGAGACAAAATGAGAAAAAAAAAAATCCAGACAGACAATCACATTGGCTGATTTGGAAAGAATTTATTTGCAAATTATGGTGGAAAATAAGTATTTGGTCACCTACAAACAAGCAAGATTTCTGGCTCTCACAGACCTGTACCTTCTTCTTTAAGAGGCTCCTCTGTCCTGCACTCATTACCTGTATCAATGGCACCTGTTTGAACTTGTTATCAGTATAAAAGACACCTGTCCACAACCTCAAACAGTCACACTCCAAACTCCACTATGGTGAAGACCAAAGAGCTGTCGAAGGACACCAGAAACAAAATTGTAGACCTGCACCAGGCTGGGAAGACAATCTGCAATAGGCAAGCAACTTGGTGTGAACAAATCAACTGTGGGAGCAATAATTAGAAAATGGAAGACATACAAGACCACTGAATCTCCCTCGATCTGGGGCTCCACGCAAGATCTCACCCCGTGGGGTCAAAATGATCACAAGAACGGTGAGCAAAAATCCCAGGACCACACGGGGGGACCTAGTGAATGACCTGCAGAGAGCTGGGGCCAACATAACAAAGGCTACCATTAGTAACACACTACGCCGCCAGGGACTCAGATCCTGCAGTGCCAGACGTGTCCCCCTGCTTAAGCCAGTATATGTCCGGGCCCGTCTGAAGTTTGCTAGAGAGCATTTGGATGATCCAGAAGAGTATTGGGAGAATGTCATATGGTCAGATGAAACCAAAATAGAACTGTTTGGTAGAAACACAACTCGTCGTGTTTGGAGGAGAGAGAATGCTGAGTTGCATCCAAAGAACACCATACCTACTGTGAAGCATAGGGGTGGCAACACCGTGCTTTGGGGCAGTTTCTCCGCAAAGGGACCAGGACAACTGATCCATGTACAGGACAGAATGAATGGGCCCCATGGCCCATGTATCGTGAGATTTTGAGTGCAAACCTCCTTCCATCAGCAAGGGCATTGGCTGGGTCTTCCAACATGACAATGATCCCAAACAACATACCGCCCGGGCAACAAAGGAGTGGCTTTGTAAGAAGCATTTCAAGGTCCTGGAGTGGCCTAGCCAGTCTCCAGATCTCGACCCCATAGAAAACCTTTGAAGGGAGTTGAAAGTCTGTTGCCCAGCGACAGCACCAAAATATCACTGCTCTAGAGGAGATCTGCATGAAGGAATGGGCCAGCATACCAGCAACAGTGTGTGCCAACCTTGTGAAGACTTACAGGAAACGTTTGACCTCTGTCATTGCCAACAAAGGATATATAACAAAGTATTGAGATGAACTTTTGATATTGACCAAATACTTAATTTTCCACCATAATTTGCAAATAAATTCTTTCCAAATCATTCAATGTGATTGTCTGGATTTTCTTTCTCATTTTGTCTCTCATAGTTGAGGTCTACCTATGATGCCAATTACAGGCCTCTCTCATCTTTTTAAGTGGGAGAACTTGCACAATTGGTGGCTGACTGTATATGACTCAAGTTGTACACATTAATTTTGGGATGTACATTATTTTCCTAATTTTCTTTTATATATGTATTCTCATTGGGTCCATATGTATTTAATATTATTATTATTATTCTCATTGTCATCGTTTTCCCAATGATGAATACTAAACCATATAATTTTAGTTCATGTTCTCATAATTTGCCTGACGTTTTTGTATATCAATTTTGATACTAACATTACTATTGGTCAATTTGGTTTGAGGAAGGGATATTGCATTGCTATCGGATTGATATGGTTATGTCCTTTCAACCCCTGATGAAGTGGGTGCTCTTGGACTCTTGGACCCCAGAAACATGTTGGCTACTACTTTTTATTGTGCCCCTGACTTAGGGGTTTTTAAAATTTATTGGAATACATTTTTTTCTAGACCTCTTAACAGTGGAGTGTAGAAGCTGCCTGCCAGGGAACCAAATCATTTACATCAACATTGATACTTTAGGATAGCAATATAAGTGAGGTAATCCTATGGTTCCAGTCCAGAACTTTCACTTTTCTCAACAGGATTATAGGGAGGTCTAATTTAAGGTGGAGATGATCAAGCTGGAGGAGTGTTTCCAGAGGTTTAATAAAGCACTGTTTATCTTTCCATAATTAGAAAGGTAAAAAAAAAACCTGCTTGGTTCACTTACAATTGAATATTGCTTATAAGAAAGGCTTGTGTCCTCCTATATTAGGATTTCACGTGTAGTGCTAACACCGAAGGAGCCACTAGTTAAGATGGGTCCCCTGTTTTTGGCCTTGACCGTCTCAAAGACCTGACGCACCAGGCTGAGAACTTCATACAGTATACGTGAAATTCCTGAAAGTAACATTAGTATCAAACTATACTGCTAAATCTAAAGAACCCTAGCACCAAGCCAGTTTGTAAAAACAAACTTAGTATATGGTCATCAAATAAAGTTGGCAAAGGCAGACAGAGATAACAGGTGAAGTGAATGATAATGGTAATAACACACTTCGTATACAGAATTTCTAGTAACAAGTACAAGGTATAAGGTGACACTTGTAGTCCAGAACAGCATAGACAGTGACAACAACACTACCTGAAGAGCAGCAGTGAACAGTAAAATAGTTGAACTATAAACCACTAGAGCTATACAGTTAGAGTGCACCAACAGTGGCTGTGCTAGGCCTAAAACCATCTGGTAAGCACTGTCAGTAGTTTAGAGGTAAAGAATGGGTATAGTGATATATAGGGGATTTGGGGGCAGGTTGTGTGACTGGGTCAGAACCTGGCTGGGAACCTGAATATGGATGCAGCCCTGGCCAACTGAGAAAAGGGAACACTGGCTAATGTTCTGAAGAGCTTGTCCAATTGTTGCTACTGCTAAGGGACTTTGCTCAACTCTAACCTGCTTGGTGCTACAATCTAGAGAAGTCGGCTATCTGCTTCCAGCAAGGACTTCAACCGCACCTAGCTAAAAGATCAGTTAGATGTCCTCTGATGTGAATAGTTCTAATCTTGGATAATTCTACTAAAGTTCCCAATCCCTATCCCCAGGCCTACAATAAAAGACATTAAAATTGAAGACAGCAGGAAAATACTTTGTGCCTGGCTGCAGGGCGAAGCAAGGGGAGGCCCGGGCAAAAAATACAAGCAGCTCCTACGGGGGTAGCACAACATGTGGGGGCAGTGGTTGCTATGAGTAATGGAAGAGACGGTCAATGTTGTTGTTGGTGCTGTGTGGATTACAGGGAGGCAATTAGTATGCTGGAGAACTGTTGTGTCATGTTAAAGAATGTCTGCTTTACAGTAAGAGACACTGCCAAGGCAGAGACATTTTCAAGTGATGGCAGCAGAAGAGTTAATGTGCAGTGTGGGAGTGAGAGCACCACATGAGGCTTCTCTGAGAGGAGACAGAAGCAAGATGGTGGCGGCAGGTATGAGTACCGGGGCTCCAGCGAGAAGTGGTAGACTCTCAGCATAGCTGACTGCAGAGAAAAATGATGACCAGTACCGAGGTGCAGGTGATACCCCACGGAAGCATGATGCTGTTTAGCAGTGAAGATGGAGAGCACCTTGGACTGGTATGAGGCAGTTGCCAGTTTGTGACCATGAAGCTGCATGCATGGGGTCGGTGTGGTCATTGTGCAGAGATGTTGCTGAGGCAAGTGTCCAGTGACTGTCAACCAAAGGTGCTGCTTGTCAATTGGGAGGCAGGATTCTGCAAAGAGATGCCGCCAGCTGCGGCGGTTAGTTTAGCAGCTCAGGGAAACTGTAGTGTGAGAGGAACACCACCGGGGCCAGGACCAGTTGTACACACCCGCCCTGCTATCTGTTCTACCATATTCACTTACATTTTTTGAATGCATGACACTCACCTAGCTAGAGCGGAACAGCAACATGTTCAATCTGCAGCTGTTGGTGGAAAGACCCACAACCCAGAAAGACCCAGAGACTGTGAGGACCATCATCCTCAGAGTCCTAAGGTGAGGAGGGGGTCGGGGGTCATTGACACAGTCACCTAAATTTGAGCTCTGCTATGGGTATAATAGAAGAGAGGATCAGTGACTGGAGGTCAATAGCAGGAACTGTGTGGACCAGTGAGGCTGATGAGGACAGACATGAAGATGCCATCCTTGTTCTATATGCCAAAAATTGGGGGTTCTGCAAGGCCTATGCAAATCAGAGGCCTGATCTGTTTCCTCCTAAAAGTTATGTTCTGGCTTGAGCTGAAAATTAGGCCTATAGTGTTCTTTTAAAAAAGGAAGAGAAACCCCGTATGTCCCACCATGGAGAGGGGATTGGAAGAAGCAACCCAGGTTCTTGCTTTTTTATCTTGTGCATTGGAAGGTAGACTTAGAGTATGGCTATGGCTTTCCTTACATTCCAAGGGAGGTTAGACAGAAAGTTGAAGCTGAGAGAGTCTCCTGGTGTCATGAGGGTGAATCAGGCAAAAATACAAGTGGCTCCTGTGAGGATAGTGCTGTACAAACTTGGGGGGGGGGGGGGGGGGGACTTGCCTATCAGGGTCAAGAGGTTGAACACTCTTTATATGAGTTGTTTTGCCTTCCTCTAAATCAGCGGTTCTCAACCTGGGGGTCGCGACCCCTTTGGGGGTCGAACGACACTTTCACAGGGGTCGCCTAAGACCATCGGAAAACACATATTTCCGATGGCCTTAGGAACCGAGACACCGCTCCTCTATCTGTCCCCAGGTGTGGGCGGGATGACATGCCGTCCATGTCATCTGGACACACCCCCGGGATCAATCCTTTGCCGGTGATTGGCCGCCGGAACTGTAGATCAGGAGAGGTACACAGGCGGCCAATCACCGGCGAGGAGGTGGAGCTTGGAGAGGAGGAGCCGAGCGGCACCGCGAAGATCGAGCGAGTGAAGAGGAGGAGAGCGGCCGGAGAAGGAAGACATATGACCGGTAAGTGTCTGTACCATGGGAGAGGGAGGGAGGGAGCGAGCGAGCCCGGGCTGGAGCAGGGGTCAGCAAGGTAAGTATCATTGGTGTCAGTGGGAGGAATAGTGCCCCATCATTGGTGTCACTAATACCAACGATGGGGCACTAGTCCTCCCCCCACTGACACCAATGATGGGGCACTATTCCTCCCCCCACTGACACCAACGATGGGGCACTATTTCTCCCCCCACTGATACCAACGATGGGGCACTATAACTCCCCCCACTGATACCAACGATGGGGCACTATTCCTCCCCCCACTGATACCAACGATGGGGCACTATTCCTCCCACTGACACCAATGTTGGGGCACTATTGCTTCCCCCTGATACCAATGATGGGGCACTATTCCTCCCACTGACACCAATGATGGGGGCACTATTTCTCCCACTGACACCAATGATGGGGGCACTATTTCTCTCCCACTGACATCAGTGATGGGGCACTATTCCTCCCACTGACACCAGTGATGGGGCACTATTCCTCCCACTGACACCAGTGATGGGGCACTATTCCTACCACTGATACCAATGATGGGGTACTATTCCTCCCATTGACATCAGTGATGGGACACTATTCCTCCCACTGACACCAATGACGTGGCACTACTCCTCCCACTGCAAAATTACAGTTATGAAGTAGCAACGAAAATAATTTTATGGTTGGGGGTCACCACAACTTGAGGAACTGTATTAAGGGGTCGCGGCATTAGAAAGGTTGAGAACCACTGCTCTAGATGAATTAGTAGTAAGGGGCTCTGATGATGCAATTTTTGAATGTTTGAACTTGACGTGTGTTTCCTTTTCCAACCTATGTCACTAAACGCTAAGAAGTGTATTTTTTTTATAGTGACACTATTTTCTCTTTTCACTGAAGTGAAATGTATGTGTCAAGAATGTTTTTCCATGGTGTACATTTTATATTTAGGAAGACTTCACTGCCCCTTTTAATATGTTAATTTTATTTCAGTAGTTTGTATTGTATTTATGTATTTGAATTTTTTCCAAAAAGAAGGAAATACAACAATAATGCATGTCAATACATACAGTAGAATCAAAAAAAAAAAAAGAAACAGGAAAGGGGTAAGTACAAAATACCAAAAGTGTGCTCAATGATCCAATGGTATATAACATGCAATTTAATGTGGTAATTCATCAAATGGGTCACCTATGCTGCTACTACTACTTCTATCATTACTACTATCACTACCAATAATAACAGTAATATTATTAATTATATTATAAAGGTAATGTATATGAATGAATCTTTGCTTATTTCTGAAGCATTATATACTTACAGTGGCTTGGTCAAAATTGGATTCCAAAAAGTGAGCTTGACTCAGTATGTCGGCAATGAAAGACATGGCAACTTGAGCGTCTGTAGAAACAAAAATATAGTTCATATGACAGATTCTCCCTAAAGTCATGTTTAAAGTGAAACTTTATGTAAATAGCTAAATGCACAATTGAAATGCATATCTTAGAACTGTTTTACACACTGAAGAATTTGAAGCAAGTCTCTATTGATTTACACACTCTACCATGGTACATAGCCAGCAAGATGGCTTTCTATTCTTCTTTACAGCTTCCTTAGTCACCTTTCTGCCCATTAGACAGAAATCAAGACGATGGTTGATCATCCAATGAGCAGACTGGACATGAAGGGGTGATGCAGATAACTGCAAAGTTGAACCAAAAACTGGCCAAACAGGACAATATCATTGAACAGATACAGGTGTTCACCTACTGTACACGAATTTCAAATGTGTTTTAGGCGTTTACCTGCTATAATATCGGCATCTCTAGGTGTTAAATAAAAGCTACATTATGTGAAAAAAGACCTACTAATAATCAATAAATTTTTTTTCAAAACACATACAGTACATGCACAAAATTAAAAAGGCTATCTAGAATGTATGACTTTTTGAGTAGCAGCCACGATATAAGCTTTGTTTTATGGCATTCCAAGTAAAAAAATATTATTCTAGATGTTGAAAATATTTTTCCCCACAATTTCATTCTCATTGCCTTTAATTGTAAGACGTGTGGGCAATATGAGTTTTGCAACGAAATAAAGATAGCATTCCATTCAATTAAATTTTTTTTTCTATTTCATATGCCTATATTTAATTTATTTTCTTATTTACATACAAGTGCTTAGAAGTAGAGCTGCACTAAAAAGACTAAATATCTAGAAAAAGCAGCTTGTCCAACAGGTGATAACACAGTGTAAAACAAACTAAAAACAAATATGCAGCACTATTTCATTCAGTAAACTATATGTGATCAAAATAAAATTAGTGTCCAGAAGTGTTCCACTCAGTGCATATAACATATATGTAGCACCCTCTAGTGTGCTACTAGGGTTAGTGTAGGTAAATTTATTGTGTATGACTCATCTTAACCACCTCCTGCCCGCCATATAGTACAATGACGGGTGCAAGGTGGTTCTCTCGTTCTGGGAGGACGTCATAGGACGTCCTCCCATTCTCACCACGCACTCAGGGAGTGCGCAGCGCTGCGATCGTCAGTGCACTGTGTCCCTCGGACACAGCAGATCACCGATCCACGGAAAAAGAGCCGAAGATGTCGGCTCGGTCATGTGATCAGCTGTGTCCAATCACAGCTGATCACATGTAAACAGGGAAATGCCTGTTATCGTCATTTCTCTCCTCTCGAGCTGTCAGTGTGACAGCTCAAGAGGAGAGCACAGCCGGTAATCAGCTTTCCGCAGAGGGCACATGTACACTGATCATCAGGGCACTGATGATTAGTGTGCCCTGATGATCAGTGTAGCCCCAGCAGTGCCACCTCTCAGTGCTCATCAGTGCCACGTGCCAGTGCCCATCAGTGCCACGTGCCAGTGCCCATCAGTGCCACATTAATGCCACATATCAGTGCCCATCTGAGCTGCCTTTCAGTTCCGCCTATCAGTGCCGCCTATCAGTGCCCATCAGTGCAGCCTCATTAGCACACATCAGTGAAGGAGAAAAATCACTTATTTACAAAATTCTATAACACAAACTAAGAAAAAAAGTTTGCTTTTTCAGTGGTTTTTGGTTTAAGAAAAATTAAAAACCCAGAGGTGATTAAATACCATCAAAATAAAGCTCTGTCACAAAAAAAATTCTAAAAATTTCATATGGGTACAGTGTTGCATGACCAAGCAATTGTCATTCAAAGTGCAACAGCGCTGAAAGCTGGAAATTGGCCTGGGCAGGAAGGGAGTATAAGTGCCCTGTAGGCTTGTGGTTAACAGTGTGAGTTTGTAATTAGGTCAGGTTGGATGACTTAACAGATCGGGACTATCGTCTTCACCTGGTTCTGGAGGACCATGGAAGCTCCTAGAAGCCAGTGGCCAAAAAGGGCCAGAGACCTAAATCTGCATGTTTATGGGAGTCTAACCAATCCCAGGTTTGGAGGCCCTGGTACAGTGGTGAGGCCAACCCATAATTATGGAAGAGTAAGGCTGGCAGCGGAGTCAGGTGGAAGATGGAGTGCTGAGGAGACTGTTGGTGGCCTGGGAGGGGTCCCCTAGGTCTAGGGGGACAAGTCTCCAGGCTGGCTCAGGAGAATCCGTTCAGCATCATGGTATGAACAGGATCAAGGCCTGGGAGAAATGGAAGCAAGGATAACAGAGTGAGTAGAGTACATCAGCACACCCAGGGATTCACAAAGGGAAAGACTGTCATGTGTATCAAGCTTTCAAAGTACAGCTTTGTGCTTAACCCTTTATCCTTGTCCTGGAAGATCTTCCAGGAGGGCTGGTAGTGTCTGCAGGCTGTGGAGCTGGGAGCAGTTCTGCAGGGGAGAGGAGATACCTCTGCCTGTAGTTTGCAGCAATCTAAGCTAACTTTCAGAGGGGCTGTAGCCTGTAGTGGTTTCACAGCCGGTTTCCTACTGCACATGTGCTAATCATGCTGCAGCTTGAGATTGCTCCCTCAGTCTTCTGGGACCCTTCTGTCCCCGATGACTGCAGGGCAAAGGAGGGGGGCTGAACTCACTGCTGGAAGTTAGAGCGGGTATTTGTCAAAACCAGGTACCAGCTCACCCCCAAAAAGTGCCAAATGTGGCAGTGGAGGGGGAAAGAGGCATACAAGTGGAGCTCCCTTTTGGGTGGAGCTCTGCTTTAAGATAGTTTACTTTTGTAGTAGCATAGACCCAACTATCTACTTATATTTATATATTACTACTGTTCTATTTGGGTTTCTCATGGGTTTGCTTTCATTGTAGACAGGATATGTATTAGTCTTATAAATATTACTATGTGTATTCTGTAACAAAATAAATAGGGTTCCCAGCCATAAAGTTTTATGAATAGCATTGCAAAATTAAAAATCCTATGGTTTGACAGAATAAAAGAATTGAATGACGTTGATGTTGCTTTGTAGTCATATTTACACTATTCTACATAGTAATGCAAAATATGGCTGAGTTTTTCCAGCAGTAAGGTGTAAAACTTCTGATGTATTGTATACGCCTAATTTAATAGGCCTCTAAACCAAGTATGTAGCTTTGAGGACAATACATGCTTGGCTATGTCAGACGCTGAGGCGCATTTTAGCTCACTATACTATATGCTGGCAAGGTATAAGAATTTGGCTTTAAACATACTAAATGATTTTAAAATCAAGTACACTAACTCATTCTTCCTTAGGTGCAATAAACCCTTCTTACAGAGATATTCTGCACCCTTTTTCTGTGAGATGATTATTATTTATCTAGCACCTACTAGTGTGCTATTAGAATAGTGCAGACAAATCTATTGTGTATGACACATGGTAACTGTGTGGGCCTGTGATTAAGGTAGTGTTACTGCAGGTCAAGCTGGGTGACTTAACCAGTTGGACTCTTATGACCTTCACCTGATTTTGGAGGACCTTCCAGAAGCCAGTAGGTAGAAGAGGTGGAGACCTAATCTGCATGTTTGTGGGAGTCTAACCAATCCTAGGTTTGGAAGCCCTGGTAGAGTAATGAACCAGCCCTTAAATATGGGATAGTCCGGCAAGCTGAGGAGTCGGGCGGAAGATGGAGTGCTGAGGAGACTGTGGCCTGGGAGGGGTCCCCTAGGTCTGGGAGGCTGGTCTCAGGCTGGCTCAGGAGCATCCATTCAACAGTACGGCATGAAGAGGATCAAAGTCTGGGAGCAGTGGGAGAAAAGCGGATGGAGTGAGTACATAAGCACACCCTCGGATTTGCAAGGGGAGGAGTCTGCCACATGTAGCAAGCTTTAGCTCTGTGCTTAAAGGATAAGTTCACTTTTCATAACATTATAGGATCTACACCTCCCTGCTACCTGTCACATTTTTTTTTTTTTTTTTTTTAAATGCAGCCAAGCAGGGCTCACCTGCCTAGCCGTGTCACTCATTCACAGTGTTCTGTGAATAAGAAAAAGTAACAGCAGCCTTTGAGGCTGCCAGCTTGTAGTTCTCAATGAACTACCACGGCGCTGTGGTAGTTCATTAAGTCTTCCTGTCAGTATCGGCTACCACGTACAAGGTATGAGGAAGCAGATATACTGACAGGTCTGCAGGAGACCTGCACGGCATCAGTGATCTGCTGATCTCTGGTGCAATGCTTTACAGGCTCCCAAAACAAAAAATGCTAAAAGCATGTTTTTTTATCTGCAAACAAATGTACATTTATTATTTTTTGTTGAAAGGTAAAGTTATCCTTTAATCTCCCTGGCGGTATGATTATTTCAGATTTTTGGTGCTGAAAGCGGTACCATTATTTTGAATGGAAATTTGGCGTTTTATATTGTAGGCCTGTAATTCTTAGGAATAACTCACTGAAATCTGTCCGAACAAGAATCTAGTAAACATCCGGGTAGGATAGAACTTGAAACATGAAATCATAAATAATAATTTAATAAATAATCAAAAAATAATATAATAATAATTCATTTAATTCAATAATATAATCAAACCAAAAACACTGAAATTTGAAATATAGCACCAAGTAAGCACATCATTGAGCAAAGTCGCAAAATCGTTTTCAGTGTCTGATGACGAATTTCCCCACAAATCATTATCACTCAATTCTGCAAGTAGTTCTAATTTACTATCACTGTTCTCTAGCTGGTCTAAAACCACTTTTGACCTAAAGGGACGCTTTTTGGACGCCATGGACGTTTCTCAGTTTCCAGGTAGAAAGAACAGTAAAAATGCAGGCAGTGCACAGGACAAAGTATTAGGGACAAAATGTATGTGAAATGGTTTGATACAGTAATGTTTTACTATGTGATTTTAGGGATTTTTGTGAATGTCACTTGTTGTCATTTTCAAATTTCCCGCCGTTCCTTCCCCCGTACGTCCCGACGCTCGCAGAGGACGGAACCCAGATGACAGATGCCGGCATCCGC